AAGATCTGGACAGGCATTTTTCCAAAGAAGACATACAGATGGCCAACAGGTATATGAAAAGGTACTCAACATCACTAATCAGGGAATGCAAAGCAAATCACCATGAGATATTACCTCACACCTGTTGGAAAGGCTATAATCAAAAGACAAGAAATAACACCCACTGACAAAGATGTGGAGAAAATATAGAACTTATTTTTGGCTCAGGTACTTTTAAACTTGACATGCATCAGAAATCCCCTGGATGGCTGTTAAAACAGGCTGTTAAGACAGTTAATAATTCCGTAAATCTTGGGTAGAGCCCAATAATTTGCATTTCTAATAAATTCCCAGATGATGCTGACACTGGCAGTTCAGGGACCAAACTATGAAAACCACTGTTCTAGTGAAAGGAAGACAAATACTATACTATAAACATCAGAAATACATAAAGTGTCTAGTACATTAGAAGATAAGTGCTGGAGGGGCGCCTGGGTGGCTCAGTCGGTTAAGCGTCCGACTTCAGCTCAGGTCACGATCGTGCAGTCCGTGAGTTCGAGCCCCGTGTCGGGCTCTGGGCTGATGGCTCAGAGCCTGGAGCCTGCTTCCGATTCTGTGTCTCCCTCTCTCTCTGCCCCTCCCCCATTCATGCTCTGTGTCTCTCTGTCTCAAAAATAAATAAAAACATTAAAAAAAAAAAAAAAGAAGATAAGTGCTGGAGCATCTGGGTGGCTCAGTCGGTTGAGCATTTGACCTCAGCTCGAGTCATCGTCTCATAGTTCGTAAGTCTGAGCCCTGTGTCAGGCTCTGTGCTGACAGCTCAGAACCTGGAGCCTGCTTTGGATTCTTTGTCTCCCTTTCTCTCTGCCCCTCCTCCACTCCCTCCCTCCCTCCCTCCCTCCCTCCCTCTCTCTCTCTCTAAAATAAATAAACATTAAAAAAAATTAAAAAAAAAAAGATGATAAGTGCTCTGGGAAAAAAGAGAAAGCAGGGCAAGACAACAGCTGCATACAGAGCTGGTATTCTTATGTTTTATTTAAATAAAACTCCCATTTCCTATATAATAGTAACAATGGTGAATGGCTCATGCCAGGCAATATTCAATCTATGGGCTTTACACATATTAACTAATTTAATCCAACAAGACCCCTATGAAGTAAATACGACGATTTACCCCATTTTGCAGGGAGAAACTAGTTAGGTTGAAGTAAGTTGTCCAAGGTCACACAGCTACTAAGAGATGGATCCTGGATGTGAGCCCAGGCAGTCTGGCTCTAGAATCATTGCTGTTAAATATTATAGCATACTGCTTCCCAATTCACAGATCTTCTTCATTAATGTTATTTCTTTTTCTTTAATGTTTATTTTTATTTGAGAGAGAGAGAAAGAAAGAGAGAGAGAGAATGCGCGCATGGGAGCGAGCAGGGGAGGAGCCGAAGTGGGCTCCAGGCTCCAAGCTCTCAGCACAGTACTATGCTCAAACCCATGAACTGTGAGATCATGACCTGAGCTTAACCAACTGAGCCACCCAGGCACCCCATTAATGTTATTTTTAGTGGCAGGAGAAGAAATATCTTGTCAGGCTAGACTGGACATACATTATCATCTCTATTCTATAAGCACACTTGATGCTTTCTTTCATCTACAACCTACTTTTATATTTCTTATTTAAGTTCATCATTCACCCAAATAACCAAGTGAGAAAATGCAGACACCCTTGAATCTGTCTCTCACTCCCCATGTCCGATCTTAATTTCTGCCTCAGAAATTGGATTTAGGACTCTCTAGATTCCCATGTTACCCAGATAATTGCCACAAAGGCTCCTAGTATGGTCCCCTATATCCAGATTCTTGTTTCTCTTTCATCCTCCACTCAGCCACCAGCATTCTCCTTCTAAAGTAAAATCTGACCATATTAGCCAGCTGTTTAAAATCCTTCACCGGTTCTTCGTATCAAGCCCAAATGTCTTAATGTGATATAAAGTCCCTTCACAATCTGGCTGTGTCTCACTTTCCTGATCTACTATTAATCTCCCACACATACCCTAAGCTCCATTCACGGTTCTAAGTATTTGATTTTCTGTTCTGTTATTGCCTCTTCCCATCTCCCTCTGGCAAACTCCCACTCAACCCCTTAATACTTAGTTCTCCTTTCTGCTTCCCTCCCCTAACACACAAGTCAACTTTTTCTTTATGGTCTCAAAACTGTCTTAGGACCAATCACACACTTTGTTGTAAATTTAGTCCCATTAAGGCAAGAGCTCTTGAAACTCCTAGGGTCCAAGACAGTGACTGATACACAGTAATTCTGAAAGAGTTATTAAAAACTGATTAAGTTCAATTACAGAGCATAAGCTAAATTCAAGAGCTGTTATGTACATTATTCAGAACCTAATAATTTATGATGGAAATTAAAGCTCTGGAAAGCTCATGAAGTAATCTCAGAACTAGGAAAAAAGGATTCAGAGATAAGACACAGTGTGTTTGCCCAACTAAATTCTATTTATTCAACAAATATTTATTGAGCAGTATGAGTAAAGTAGCGAACAGAGATGGAAAATTGTTGAAATTCGTATTATAACCTATAGATACGTGTACACTGTATTTACTTACCCATTAAACAACTAAGTCCGCTACCAGCAACTTGTATTAAGAGTATTTTGTGGGGGCGCCTGGGTGGCGCAGTCGGTTAAGCATCCGACTTCAACCAGGTCACGATCTCGCGGTCCGTGAGTTCGAGCCCCACGTCGGGCTCTGGGCTGATGGCTCAGAGCCTGGAGCCTGTTTCCGATTCTGTGTCTCCCTCTCTCTCTGCCCCTCCCCGTTCATGCTCTGTCTCTCTCTGTCCCAAAGATAGATAAACGTTGGAAAAAAAAAAAAAAAAAAAGAGTATTTTGTGGGGAGCCTGGGTGGCTCAGTCGGTTGACTGTCCGACTTCAGCTCAGGTCATGATCTCATGGTTCGTGAGTTCGAGCCCCGCATCGGGCTCTGTGCTGATGGCCTGGAGCCTGCTTCAGATTCTCTGGAGCCTGCTTCAGAGCCTGGAGCCTGCTTCAGAGCCTGGAGCCTGCTTAAGATTCTGTGTCTCCCTTGGGGCGCCTGGGTGGCGCAGTCGGTTAAGCGTCCGACTTCAGCCAGGTCACGATCTCGCGGTCCGTGAGTTCGAGCCCCGCGTCAGGCTCTGGGCTGATGGCTCAGAGCCTGGAGCCTGTTTCCGATTCTGTGTCTCCCTCTCTCTCTGCCCCTCCCCCGATCATGCTC